TGTTTAGTATAATAAAAGGAAATGTGCACCCGGCGTCCGAACGAGTCCGCTGTTTTATATATCACGGCATACAAGGTTATGAAAATTACATCGTACCTCAAATTCAGCCGCTAGAATAACCGGTTGGATCAAAATAGTAGTACTAGGTAATAATAGACGTCCTTTTTTCAAATGAAAATCGTGCTAATGAGATTTTTTTAGGAATATAAACCATATCCTGGATTTTGGATCTACATTTTTATTCTCCATTGATGAAATAACTTTAAACGATAGAAACGTTCTTCCAACCAGGTCGAAAAAAATTCCGAATTTTTTGATGCAAGAAAATTAAACTAAAAGACCCGAAGAGATTATTTTTATTATAAACTTCATAAATAGAAACTTTTGTAAGAATGGAGCTGCAAGGCATAGGGTATCTCCGCTTTCCGAATCAAGTTTTGTAAGAACGCCACATTTTCAGAGGAAGTTTGTGAGAGTTCCTCATTTTTTAAAGGCCATGTGGATGACAAGTAATTGATAATAGTCTATTAGAAATTTTTCCTTCCTTTTAGTGAAACATTATGTACGAACGAATACATTTTTACATCACTTATATTGTAACAATAAGTTAGATATTTCAGTCAAAGCAGCTTCACAATTTCGAGTGTCGATCCGTGATGTGGAAACGAGACACACATCTTTGTGTTCTATCAGCCTATGATCGTACCCAGAAAGCTGACAGATTTCGGATAGCTGTGAAAAATGACATAGACATGTACGAGAACATTTGTACTGCGGAAAAGGTAGGCAATATGTCACAAAACCTGCAAATTCTCAATTTTGTGTGGATTCAGAACGCAGAAACGATATCATTTCGTTCCGATTGGGACCTGATTCGTACGACAATTGCAGTGGCCGAAAAGTGGGTTACAACTCCAAGACCAAGAATAAGGTCAGGGGATTTTTCAATGGAAAAGTGTGATATTAAAATTGAAATAAATATTTAGAAAAAAGCCAAAGCCGACTATGGAAGATGCACCGTTGCGTAGGATACGAGAACAACCAGTAACTCAGTCCAAGTAAGTCAATTGATGTCAAGTTTTTTCTTTTCATTTTTCACTCATATTTTTTAATTTTCAAAAATTGCGCTCCATGCATCCTATCAGTTATGGAAATTATAATCCTCTACGCAGGAAATCGTACCTGATCTAGTCTAAAGCACGTATTCGACAAGCATATATCGAGTAATTTGTAAGATAATATGTGAGATTGCACACCAAGTTGCGGCAACCAACGACAAGTAACTCCCCAGTAAGACCTTTTCTACCATAACAAATTGTGATGTTTACAATCAACATGAATGCTATCCAATCAAATCAAAGAAGATAGGGAACCAAGGAGAAACAAAAGAGGAGGTTCTCATCTTATAAGTCGTCAAGTACCGCGCATCGTGTGCAATGGATATAATTA